AAAAATTCAGTATTAAATAAGAGTCAGGAAGGAAATTAGTACAGTTTTGGTATTTTTTTTTAAAATCTAAAACCTATAACAATTCTTAAAATGTAATGAAGTTCAGGTAGTAAGATATCACTGTCAGCTAGATAGAGAAAAATTTATTTTCTTTGATACCCTTTGCCAAATTCTTCTTTTTGACTCGAATTCCCTATATCTTAGAGAATTAGTTTGTAAATTGCATAAATAGAAGATGTGCAATGTTTTGTTGTTGGATATTGAAATTATTACCCGAGTGGGTCAATTTAACGATAACAAGCTTTTAAATCATTTGATTTACTAGAAAAAATTCCTTATCGCAATGTTCTGAATGGAAAAATATCAAAATTTAGACAAAAACCCATTTCATATCACATATCTCAAGACTTTGATCATTGACCTGATTTTCTACTAACAGAATACAGGCATATGAGTAAACTGTGGCTTCTTTCCTTTTACTTTCGGCAGTATTTTGATTTCGACAGTGTTAACATCAGACACCGTCTGCCTACACCGTATTAACTCGTAGTTCAATCGCACAATTTTCGTACAACACTTGCCATCATACGTCCATTTTCATATATTTCACATATTCGCGGGAAAATCGTACTATGTTCCTATCAATTCGAAGAACACTCGCAGTATCTCGTAGGACACTCGCAGTAACTCGAGAGACACTCGCACAAGCTCGAAGGACACTCGAAATAAATCGTAGGACTCTTGTAGTGTCGCGAGTACTACGAAGTTCCGCGAATGTCGCACGAACTTCAAAGATTTACTACGAATATGTATACGAGGGCAGTGCGGATGCTATGAGATTGTCTACGAATAATTAAAAACCGTGCTGTGTCTACAATTGTTTTGAACATGCTGAAAACTATCGCCAAATTGCGATTTGCTGTGATCTCACACCATTAAGAAAGATATCCTACGAGTACGTCTGCGATAAATCCCGATTTGCTGTAATTTTTGAATTTGTAATGAATTGTAGCTATAAATCGTGACAGTGTGACATGGGCTTAGGTACATATCTATAGCGATCTGACAAAGTTTCCGGTGTCGACAATTGTTGGGTAAGACCTGCCTTCGGTTACATGACATAAGGCGATTATAAGCTTACCGCTTAAAAATTAAATGCAAATTATATAATCTCTGTACTTGACAGTGCAACATTTTACTCCGAACACGACATTGTTCAAACTTTTTACTACCATCATTTTTAATCGCAGTGTCCAAAAATAAACTACAGCACTAGTGTGACTTTTTAGCAGTATCACGGTGTTTCGTGTAGTTCGAAATGTCTTACGTTTTCCAAGCTTTTCCACGATTAATTATATTTACTTGACTCGTAAATCTTCGAAATGTATCTCAATTTAAACTCGCAAACATTTCCTTTTTTAAGACGTGAAGTCCCAAAATCAAAAACCCATGGGAGAACGGAGGGAACTTGAAAATAATTTAGTCTTCACATCTATCCCTATTTTCTCCCAAATGGGTGAAAAGGAGTCAGATGGGATATTTTTTTTCCCCATTTGGATTTTTTCTCTCACACAGCTTTGTTCAAACGGAATAAATCCCACAATCCCACAGATATTGAGAGAATTTTCTCCCCTACTTTATTATATAAGATATGGGATATATCCCATAGATTTTGACAATGATGTGTCCCTCTCTTTATAATATATATCCGATAAAATCCGATATATCCTATGTTTAACGAAACATATCAGAAAATGTCTCATTGGCAATATGAATGAGATGTATTCCATTTGAACGAATTTGTGAGTGTAAAAAATCCCAGTGGGAGAATATATCCCATGTGACACTTTTTCCCACGGGAGAAAGTGGGATACCGATAGTTGTTTGGACCAAAAATCCCACCATTCTTCTATGTGATTTGACTAATAGTATTTCATATCTTTTTAAAGAGAGAGAGATGTTTGTGAGGTCAATGTGAGTCCATGTGATACTGCTGAAACTCCAACCATGAGCTATAATGAATTTTTGGAAATATTGTACATTAGAAATGGTAGTAAAATATATAGACTGTGATGTGTCCGGAGTTATAGTCCGCACATTAACTTGTATCCTGTTACTAAGAAGATGTGGTTTTAATCTCATGAGGAAATGGACGAAGGCGGATGTTGACCACAAACATGTCCTAGTGCATATGAAATGTAAGTAAAGATAATTTCTTGTTCAAATTCTGAAAATTATTTACACTATGTTTTACTTCAAAACAGTTGGATATTGTCTTTCTAACAAATTTTCTATCTATCAATAAAAATGTGCATTTCCTGTTTGACTATAATGCATACTTTATTGATGAATAGATGAATAGAAAGATAATATTACTAGTATGTATAGGAAATGGATCATGAGGTAGGTTTACTTTTTCTATGATGCATTTGAAGATATAGTACAGAACGCATCTTTACTCTTCATCTTTTTCCTCAAATTCATTTTTTTTTTAATTTTCAATTGATATTTTGTTCGAAGATAATTTATGATAATTTTTATCATAAGAAAGAGAAATTGACCAAGGTATTTTTGCATGCTTAAATTGAAATACCGTAACGGTTATGATAGCCTATTAGACTTTAGAAGAAAAGGGTGAAATACGGGTTTAAAAATGCGGTTTGTTTAAAAATGAGCATTTAAATGTATAATTACAAATATGTGAAATGCTCCTGAAAATGTTTTAGGTGTTTGCTTGTTTCTATTAATCAAGTAAAAAATTCTGAGTCAGTGATAAAGCTTCACTGTAAAATATAGAGGCACCAGTAATATACTATATGTAATCACTATGCATGTATACATGTATATACAAAAAGAGATAGTGATTTCGTAATATCAAATATAATTTCATATACATTACTACTTAACATTTTCCAACCATGAAATCAAATCCCCATAAACCAATATTTTTGCTTCGAACTTTGAAAATTTTACCCCATGAAAATACAACGTATGTGATTTTACAGTATTTAATTTTGTGCTGTACTCGGGAAAACTTCGATCAGAGAGTAGTGTCAAAAGCAGGAAATGTGTTAAAAACAAGTCGTTCAATTGTTTGTTCAAGTGTTTATTAATGATATAATGATAAAGACTCCGTATCAGACAAGAACAATCTTTGGGGAAAGAGATTATCTGTAAAATCTAAAAAAAAAAAAAAAAAAAAAGAAAAAAAAGAAAAAAGAAATCTTCAATGGATAGCGATTCACGGAAAGATAAAGGTGCTTAGCAGTTGCTGATTGGATATTGCGCAAAAATGTGTGAAATATACATGTACATATCGAGTGTATTTTTGAGAAACTTGTGATTTTACTGTTGATGTTCCGTATGTTTTTTAAATTAAAATTTTGGTAAGTGTGTTTTGTAGTTACCACAATTGTTGATAATGAAATTTTTTTAAATAAAATAATTTCTGCAAACCATGTGAAACTTAAACATAAGAAATAAACAGTCCTAAAAATCCTTCATTTTAATTCATCATCTTCATTGATAATATCAAAGTTAATGAATTTCTTATACGGTTTTAACGATTTACTGATATAGTGAAGTAATTTCATAGGTCCCTGTGACTTCATTTTAACCGAGTTTTGCTGTACATATAATAATACACGAACATTGTGTCGAGAACTAAAATGTCAATTTTGTACACCTCTGAACAATTTTCAAAAAATGCCAGGCTCTCCTCCCTGAAGTCTTAATTTCTACAATTTCAAAATAAGTTGGCATTTTTGCATAGCTTTGTATTATTCAGTTTAAATGTTAACAGACGTACATATGTATTTTAATGATATAACAGATTGTTCTGTAAATGACAAAATCACCCCCTTAATTCCCCCAATCAGACATCCTACCTCCCCAAAAAGGAAAGAGAATAAATTACATCTTTATTTTACATTCTGTCACCGATTCAGTCTGAAAGTTTAATACACTTTGCTGAAAGCTCAATTACACATTCAGTTGGACTATATTGTATTAAGATAAATGACTGTTGTTAGGACAATTTTTCCTTTTCTTTACATTTCAACATGTTTAAATTTGCCTTTTTTAAGTGGGGGAGGAGTCAATCTTTCGAAGTCAAGGAAGGAAGTGGTATAATCTGCATGTATTTTTTTTCCTACATAGTATTAAGAAAAAAACTCTCCTTTCGTTATCAGCCTCATTATGAACATGTATTTATTGCAGATATTTGATATATTTTTTTTTGGAGAATACAAGTTGATTTTGCTGCTATTTTTAAAAATGAGGAACTTAAGAATTATAAACATAGTTGTACACTTAAATATATAATTCCACAGCATAGAATTTATTCTTCTGAATTATGTCACTTGATATCATTTAAAATTTCAGGACACATAAAAAAGAAAAAAAAGTTTCTTATGCAGACATGCACTTTGACCAGCAACCAATTCCGTGTATAAAGAAATATTATAAAGCATCAATAACTTCCATTATGTAACTCCACTGGATCATAAATCACGTCTACTTTGAGTTGTTGATAGCTATTGTTTTTTGTTATGAAATTGTTTATTCAATTTTGTGTTTTTTCTAATACGGAAGGGTAAAAGAAATATTTTTTTTATGGCTGTAAATCAAATCTGAAAAGTAAAATGTGTCTTTTGAACCATGCAAATGACAATGTTTTGAAAGCTTCTTGATGTTAATAATCAACGTAAAAATGATCTTCAAAGTACAGAGGGTCTTTTTTCGACACAGGTAAATACACACACTGTCTGTTCATTTGAATGTACAGCAGTAAACACTTGTTGTTTTCCACTCTGACATCACTTCGGTGGTTAATGTAATGTAGATAAATAGGTGATAAGTGTACTTTTAAAACTGATGTTTCTTACTCTATATATTTATCATTTAATATGTTGTAAATTTGGTCGTTACGGACACTTCTCTCAGATGTACCTAATATTCTTTCTTATTCTTGTACTTTTTTCAGTTGTTTCCACCACACTGAGTTGCAGTAAATAGCTTAGCATCATGGGAAGCTTCGGGGGTCACGCTCTTCCTGGGTCTTTCTTCATTATCATGTCAATTTGGTGGACCGTCTCTATTTTCAATCGGCACTTCAAGTCCTTGAAAAGAAACACTCGATTCAAATCATCCGTAACTTTTCCCTTTCTCTGCTGTCCTGGAAGGCTTAAAGCATGGCCCTTGGAAGCAATGTTAAAACTTTTCATGGTGTCTGTCGGATTTTCATTGGAAATTTACACCGGCATGAGTGATGGGAAATTCTCAGCCCTTGGAAATGGACAGCATGCAACCATGTTTTTCTTTTTCGGTATTGCGGCGGTAATTGACTTGCTTTTATTTTATGATGTGCCATTGCCTAAGGGTTTAGACTATGTTGCAACTATCATCGCCATAGGTGTTGAAGGACTTTTGTTCAATTTTCATCTCCATGGGCGATCACACTTGGATGTGCGGCTGCATACCCTTCTTATTTACACCATTGCCTTAAATGCAGTAGGAATGATCTTAGAAATGAAGTATCGTAACAATGTTTTGTGTGCTCTTTCCCGATGCTATGGGTTTTTACTCCAGGGTACGTGGTTCTGGCAAGTTGGATTCATCCTTTACAACCCAAATCCGAACCATATTCCATGGAAACCGGATAACCATGATGATTTAATGATTGCGACTCTGTACTATTCCTGGCACGCTGCCGCAGATTTCCTCGTTATTCTGTGCATTGGCGGAGTGATAGGCTGTATTCATCGACGATGTGGAGGATATGATGAAAAAGATGAATTTGCAATGAAAAGACTGATCCACACTGGTTCCAATGGCCAAACCTTGATCTCAATGCACGAGGAACAGTGATATTGAAATCAATAAACCTGTATCCAAATAATCCAGGTCTGTCATCAAGGCAATCCAGACCAGTGTATGCAAATGATGCTCTACTCCAGTCAGCCATACATGTACCATTTGTAGTACACAACACGTAACGTCCTGGATGTCTAGATCTTTAACCTTTTAACCTACATTTATATTTATATATCTATTCATTATAGTTATCATACTGTAAAAACCTTTGTTTCATTTAATCTTGTCATTGACTTTTTTCTAAGTTTCAACATATTTTGCCTGGTATTTGATTTGTTATATACACATGTATATGTTTCTTTTGCAACTTTAATTATCTGTAGAAATCCTTGTTTTCCAGAATTTTTGGTTTTGGAATTGATGTAAGGAGCTTATATTGTTTTAGATAAACAAAGTCCAAGCAGCTCTGCAACATGTCATTTACTTCCATCCTTTTTAATTATCATTACTCTACCTGAATGATCTTTTTTTACTTTTATTATCCTACTTTAAACATTTATAATGCCAAATTACAAACTTCATTCTTTTAAATCCTCTTTTTTGAAATAAAAGGAAAATGGACCAGTTTAATAAATTCACAACATGTATATCCCAATTCAAATACAGAAAGTAAAAGACATTAATGTTTCAGCTTAGGCATTAATTTGTGGGCTTTTCACAACTAAAATGTTTTCTTTCCATGCCCGTTGGACTAGAAATAATTTTGATAGAAAACATTGAATAGTTAATGAAATATTTTTGCCTGAAAGCATTTTTCTATTATTTCAAGCTTATTGATTTGCCAGTTTGTCGTCAACAAGCACAGCCAAGTAGAGGCTGTTACATCATATAGTTTGTAGCCTGAATGAACAATTAAATTTCAAATGGATTCAATGTGAAGTTGCTGAACAGCCGACAATTTATTCCCCTTATAACCTAGGTCTTGGCATTTTGGGCAGCTTTAAAATAAAAAAAATGCTGACAATTTTTTTTTTTCAAATCTCCAATCATGAATGTAATAACATGAAGAAAATAAAGCTAATTTTATTCACCCAATCAAAACACATGATACATTAACCATATTATATTATGTTTAGAATGCATTCGCTGTTGTGATTTTTTCCCCTTAATCGTCCATTCTGTTACATGTAAGAGAACATGAATGCATTGTGATAGATCCAAACACTTATATTCAACAATGTTCAATGATATACATGTAATGTTATGGATGTTAAATTTAGTGATATCTTTTTTTTATATTTTCGAAAGTACATATCATATATTTTTAAAGCATGGAGATTAAATTTATTAAAGAATTGAAACATATTTTTTTTTCAAGAATTGAAAAAATTATTCTGTAAATAAAAAAATGATCGTATTTCTAAAGTTTTGAAAAATGCCAATTTTTCAAGGATTTATCCTACATGTGTACCATCAATTTAAACTGAGAAAAATGTATGTTAATTAATTAACATGTGATGAACAATTTTTTACCAAATGTTTTTTTTTTTTAATTTGATTTCTTCCAATAGACTAATAGTTTGTTTTATATATACATGTATCTTTTATATTATAAACAAAAATGGTCTACTTCTTCGCATAATAGCTTAATTTCAGTTGAAAAAAAATCAAAACCAAACTTGTATTCGTTATTTGTGAAAACTATGTACATATATCGTAAGTGTTTAAGTTTCCTTTTTCAACTTATGTGTATATTTTGTAATATTTTATTTATTTTTAAATAGGATATAAATATTTATTTTCTTTTTGATGTTGGTAATTAAACCAGACTGTTCTACTGTTAAAAATTGTGCATGAAGTTTTGTTTAATTTTCATGATAATAGTCATCACTTTGATTATATGTACATCTTTGTGTTATTCATCACAAATTACTATTATGATAATTACAAATATTATTTGTATTATATATAAGGACGCAGTGTATTTTAAAATTCAGAATACATGTGGAAAAGAAGATAAACAAAAAAAACTTGCATGGCAATGATGAGTAGAGAGGAAAACGTTAAAATTTAAGAATTTCTATCATGGTTTAACATGTCATTATTTTTTTTGGAATTCGTTATACATGTAAAAATCAAGTGAACATTAAATCTAACACACAGAACCAGATAAAACAGTCACATCAGAAACTACCAGCACATTAAAGTGTTCAAACATTAAAGGAGATTAAATTTCATGACTTTTTTTTTGCATTAAAGAAAAAGCTCAGTACTTGTGATTGTATACTGCTTATAATATCTGGATTTAAGAAAGATTAAATTTAAGCTATCAAAATATTTGTTTAAATATACATATATTATGTTTTTATTCGTTTCATCATGAAGGCTTATATATTGTTTCTTAATCATATTAGGAAAGGGTTTTTAAAAAATTACCAGGTTATACACTGCACTAATTATATAATAGTGTTGTGGTTTGCGTGCAATATGCCTAAATAGTAGTCAAAGTTTGACACATGGTGCACGAGCCGGAGGCGAGTGCACTTTGTGTCAAACCCTGACTACTATTTAGGCATAGTGCACACAAAACACAACACTGTTTTATTATTATGCTGACTGTTGTTACTGTATAAAAACGGCAATATTTTCTTCATTCCCAAAGTTTTCATCACCTTCGTCTACTCTATTATGACGTCATCTTGTGCAACATGTACGTCATAATCCTTTTCTTCAATTTTGAACGTTCCACGCTTTAGGTATAATCTACTGATAGTTTTAGAGAATAGTGTTTGAGTGAAGGAAGGGGGATTGCAAGAAACTATTTTATAAGAATTGTTTTGTTTATTTTAAATCTTAAGCATAAAATATTTGAAACTAAGTTTATATATATTATAGTACAGATTTAAAGATAACGGCGTCTGTGGCGTAATCAGTAGCGCGTCAGACTGACAATCTCGGGGTCGTGAGTTCGCTCCCCTGTATGGGCGTTGTCGGATTCTCCTCAGAAATGGAAGCCGTGCACTATTTCGGCACAGTATGCTTACACTATATAAATCCTTTGAACACTATGCGAGAATAGTAGGGTATGGACTATATAGAGACAAACTGACAGGAAGCATAATAAATAGAGAATAATACATACCCTTTTCCATATCACATCCTGTATCAGCCCGAGACACCAATGTCAGCCAGAGGGCCGAAGGGCCCTCTGGCTGATATTGGTGTCTCGGGCTGATACAGGATGTGATATGGAAAAGGGTATAGATTAATATGTTTATTACATACTTAGTAATAAAATACAGCATACATTAAGTTGAGAAGACAATAAGTAAATAATCATGCATGGACTTCTTACATACATGTATATGGTCTATTGTCTCGTACAATTTGGGTTTGTTTCTACTTCTATTTCAATGGACTCGATCCGTAATTTGAAAATAATCTATTACATGTATTTGTAAATTAAGATTAACCTTATTTTCAAAAAGTTAAAATTAAGAGAATATGAACCCACCAAATATTGTGAATGATCACAAGTACTGTTTTTGTAGTTTAATTTACTAAGGGTGAGATATTGACGTCACAATAGTCGTATCAGCCCTGCAGGGCTGATATGGATTTGCGGGGCTGATATAGGTTATCAGCCCTGCAAATCAATATCAGCCCTGCAGGGCTGAAACGGCTATTGTGACGTCAGCCATATCGCATATGCAAAAAACCTGTATTTATTACTAAGTGTGTAATAATATAAAATAATGCTGGGTTTTTTAGAGATTTATTTGGAATATTTTTTGTTTTAAAATTTGTGAAGTTTATTTGGCATGGGTTAAGGTTACCTACTGTCCCCTGTGGTTTTCATGTCAGATTTACCTATTAGTCCCTTATGATTTCTCAGGTTTATCATCTTTTTACATACATGAGTCGTTGGGTTAATGCTAGTATGCATCTTCATATCATACGCGAAGCATTTAGTTTATTAAAAGAGAGGATCAAGTCTTTAAAGTGATTTATCCGCTGTCTTATAGCTTTGTTAAATGGAGAGAATAATAAATATTCCAGGATTATTAATGAAGGAGAAATTTTAATTAAACACTGAGACTTGAATGCAAGACTCATTCTTGTGTTGAGGAATAAGATTTTAATGTCATTTTAGTGATTTGACACTGTGCGTTGTTTTACACAATGCAATATTTTTTTCTTAAAGAAAAAGAAAGAAAAGAAAAAAAAAACATTGATTATGAGTCCTGTGTCTAAACAACCTGAAAGAAAAGACAGAAAAAAGCGTTTCGTTTCAATCTAAAACAAGTATAATCATACAGTTGCTTCAATTGGTTAAAAAACACAAGGATTACTATAAAAGTTATTTGGACATTTACGTTTAGATGTAAGCTCAGGCATAACATTTGAGCCTTGTAATTAATACTCTGTAGAAACAGTTGGTTCATTTATTTTTATATTAGGAGTAATAGTAAGCAAAAAATTACTTTTAACAAGTAATTTAATATAATGGTAATTTCTGTGTGAAGTTACAAATGTATGTCAAGAGCATTAGAACTGTGGAAAGGAAACTTTAAGAAAGCAGTCCTTTATTGAGTAAAATAGAACGAAAAGATTATTACTGGAATTTTCATGATGAACAAATACTGTTTATACGTATAGTGAACAAAAATGTTACTTTTGCAATTGAATGTAATGCTTACATGTTCAAACGTTTTGAATGAATGTTCTGACGTCATAATTATTTGTTGTATGCTGTTAAGAAACCAAGATATGTTTAATTAAATCATTTTCTTAATTTTATGTTGTTTTTTTTTAAAGATTTGACTGATTAATTTTAATTGTATTAAAATTCTTGTTCTCTGTTATCAGCATTTATTTCTTGTTTACACAGTTTGAATTAAAAAGTTTAACCTTATCTACGATAGACCTTTTAATTGTTTTTTATTGGTTATTTGACCATATAGTAGTGATATACTCAGTACATATACAGTGAATACCCAAGTACATGTAAGTAGCATTCCCACTCAGATCAAACTTGCATACATTGTAGCTGTCGCTCGTAAAGAAGGATATGGAGATATGGAGATAACGAACAGTATTTAATATCAAAGTCCATAAAACAATACAAAATGGGAGCAGAGCAAACACTGACACATCAGAGGTGGGATCAGGTGCCATGGAGGAGTGAGCATCCGCTGCTGACCGGTCATACCCGCTGTGTGTTCCTAGTCATGATTTGGAAAGACCACACAGCCTTAATGTCAGTTTTGTGTGAGACATTTATTTTCTATACTCTAATATAGATAACATTTTTGATGTAAGCTTTGTGATCTTTAATTACCTTTTACCAACAAATAGACATATAACATACTTCTATATATTTAAAACATAATTATAGTTAAAAGGTAAATAGAAATATCTTGTTTCTGAGTTCAGTTTTTTTTTTTATTTAAGTTACAACATAGGAAAGAAGCCATCAAATTCGAAAAAAAAACGTTGAACAAAGTAACAAGTATTGATGTACAAAAAGCATTAAAAATTTTTATTCTTACTCATGCAGATCAAGACAAGCATATACGTAAAAGTGTATGAAAGTAGAGTATACACGCGTTGAATTATTTTATTTTGATCCTGTTAAAGGGCAGGGTGATCGTGGCCATTTTTAGACT